CATACAGTATAAATTTTGGTTTTCACTTTAAATTGGTATTCTTCTGAATTGTCCAAATGAGCGCAAGACAAAAAGCACTGATAAAATGTCCTTTTTATATGTTAAATTGTTGCAAGTATTAATAGATACTGCTCATTCCAGCTTGCTAGTCAGCCTTTGTCTAGAAAAGATGTCATTTCATTATCTGAGCTTATTAACGGAACTTAAAACAATGAAGTAGGGAGAAGGAATTTTGTTTGGTGCTTAAAAAAAGGGAGAGTCAGTTTTCCTTTTAGGTAACAATCCACGAATGAAATTGATAGAATGTGCTGCTTCAAAATGTGAAAAATTTGAGAGGTGATGTTGGAAGTTGACTCACTCTTCTTTCTACCTACTTCTGTGATAATGTAACCCTGGGATGTAACTGTAGTAACCCCTTGTGACCTGAGCTGGATATTAATGTTATTTGTACACGTACATCCTCAATTTCTCTGAAGTCCAACCAAGCAAAGCCTTTGTTAGATACAGCTAGATTTGAATCGATAAGGTTTTATTTCACAGTAAGACGAGTATACAGAACAGAAGTCAAACTGTTCAACTTATCTTTGCACAACAAAAAAAAAGAACATTAGTGGATCATCTTACACAACTTAAAAAAGATGACTTTTAACTGTTCTTCCACACTTCTGACCTTTCAGTCACTTGAAAACTAACTTTTTCCTTTAAATGAAATGTTTGTCTCTGTCTCTAAAACACCCCTGTCTGATTTCTAACTTTTAGTTTCTTGCTGTTTACAATGAAAGAAAAGGGATCAACAACTTTCCAATACACAACATTTAAGGTGTTTTCTGATTGCCAGGACAGAACTAAGAATTGCTCGGTATTTGAAGTTTATCAGAGCCAGTTCAACATCAAAATTAGCCTTCTTTTATATAAAAAAAACCTATCAGAATGCACTGGCCCTTAATTTCCTCAACATTCTTCCATTTGCCTTCCTTGAACTTAAGTTAAAAGTTATTTTCCAGCCATTTTGTCGGCGTTGTACATCTTTTCCGACAGAGAATGGTTATTAAAATTCAAGGCAACTCTGCATTACAGTCTTCACTGTTAAACAAAGTTATACTTTTCCATATCTTCCTTCTAGAAAAAAATCTCAAAATCTGACATGCAAAAATTTTGTGAGGTGTAACACCAGAGTTGGCATAGAAGCTTAATTTGAAAGAAGAGGTGGTGAATGTGACAATCAATGAAGAAAAACTGAGAGTAGAGCCATCACCATTAGAACTCTGGTGATATCTATGGGAAAGACCCTAATGAGACAGGAGGACATTGTCTGGGATACAAAGAGAATAGAAAGCCACTTCTCAAACCGGAATGGAATTCTATTTCAGTTTGTAATACATTCTCCCCATGTCTGCGTGGGTTTCCTCCGGGTCCTTCAATTTCCTCCCACAGTCCAAAGATGTGCAGGTTAGGTGGATTGGCCATGGGAAATTGCCCATAGTGTTCAGGGATGTGTAGATTAGGTGGGTTATAGGGGGATGGGTCTGGGTGGGATGTGCCAAGGGTCGGTGTGGACGTGTTGGGCTGAAGGGCCTGTTTCCACACTGTAGGGATTCTATGAAAATAAATTATTGACTATAGTAAGTTTATTCTGTAGCAAGAGCAGTTTTGTTTTAGATGTTTGGAAACAATTGCTTTAGTTTTCCTATTAATGGGCTTTTTAACCACTGACTATGTCCTGTAATAAAAGTATAGGAGTTTTTCTGCCTAGAAAAATGTGAAGTGTCAGCTTGGCTCATTGGTAACATTCTTCCAAATCAAAAGGTTGCCGTTTCAAGTCTCACTACAAACCTGGACATGATACGTCTGTACTGAAAAAAAGCTGCGTTGCTGGAGGTAACATCATATGGATGTCAAATTTGCCAGTTTGTTTAGCTAAACATTAAAATTAGTATTTGAAGAAGAATTGGCAGTTCTGTCTATCCTCAACCCCACCATTCCTCCTTCACCACAATGAAAGCAAAATACTGTTTTTTAAAAAATATTCATTCATGGGATGAGAGTGTTGCTGGCTAAGCAGCAGTTATTATATCCCTAATTTCCCAGAGGGCCTGGAGTCACATGGAGGCCAGACCAGGTAAGGATGGCAGAGATAGTAGGAACTGCAGATGCTGGAGAATCCGAGACAACAAGGTGCATCAGCTTTTCTGATGAAGAGTCTAGGCCCGAAACGTCAGCCTCTCTGCTCCTGTGATGCTGCTTGGCCTGCTGTGTTCGTCCAGCCCTGCACCTTGTTGTCTCAGGTAAGGATGGCAGTTTCCTTTCCTAAAGAACTTAGTGAACCAGATGGATTTTTCTTGACAATCAGCAATCAGCAATGAATTCATGGTCATCATTCGTCTCTTCATTGAGGACTCTTATTAAATTCAAATTTCACCATCTGCCCAATTTGAACCCTGGTCCCCGGAACATTACTTGGGATTCTAGATTAACAATCCTGTAATAATTCCACCAGACCATCACCTCCCCTGGAGGTCTGAAATAAAAACGTAAAGTGCTTGAAAAACATGGCAGATCTGGTACCATCTGTGGAGAGAGAAACAGAATTTTGAGTCAAATGTCAGTCTCTTTCAGAATAGTTCTGAAGAACAATCAGATTTGACTCAAAACATTAACTTTGTTTTACACGGCACAGATGTTGCCAGATTTGCTGAGTCCTTCAGCACTTTATATTTTTAATTCCACCCTCAACATGTGCTACATTTGCTGCAATATGTTGTATTTTATTAAATCAAAGCTTTTAGTCTGAGCACCTTATACCAACAACATTTCAACTCATTTGAAAGTCACAAAGTAGGTGACATTACAAGTGACATACCCAATTAACATTATTTTTCAAGTGGCTTGCATGGAAACAAACATTGGAAACTTATTTTTAAAAAGTGCCTTGCTTTATTATAAGTGAAAAATGAAAAGAAATAGTGGTATCAAAAAGCCTGAAATCTTGCTGGTTGTGGGCAGGGAGGTCGGAAGGAAGGAAGAAAGTGGAGACTGAATGCCACAGGACTGTTACCAGCAAAAGAAAACATCCCAAAGCAAACTGATTTATTTTTAAACAGTTCCGCAGTGTGAATTGGATGAGATACAATATATAAAGCACTTCAGTCATCTGAGAGATTTAAAGTTGCTCCCTTGGTGTCAACTGCCAGCCGTGGTTTTGCATCTAATAGTATTGTGAATTATTGAAGAAGGCTCATTCAGAAATGATATCCAGGACTAGGACAGCTAAGGACAACTTGAATGGTAAGATTGGGAAAGAGCATTCTCAACCTTCAAGAATCAACATGGCCGCCTCCATTTTATTAAAATGAAGTTTTATTATACTAATTTGTATTCACTGCTCACAATTTGTCTTCTGTACACAACACTGAACAATCACCAGTGGAAGCTTAACAGAAGTTGCTTATAGTACTTAATGGATAGTGAGAATTTTGCCTGATTACTCCTTCATTCTCAGCCAACCCTCGAGCCAGTGGATGTGGAGATTAAGGATAGCAAACTATACCTTCCGCAGTTGGAATCGGCATAAACAGAGTGAGAACAGAATTGGAACTGAAATGGAGACTTGCTTGTTCTGTGTGACTTGGCTCCTCACGTTAAACTCCTTGACGATTGCATCAGGTCTTAGCATGTTGCTGTGTTAGACTTCAGACCCAAGCAGAACAAAAACAGCATACGGATTTAAAGCACAGCATTCCTCCTGGCTACGATCCCGCATTCTGGGCCTTTGTCTTCCATGGCCACTTATCTTTGTACAGTTGGGAAGAAGCGGCGTTTTCCATCTGTATCACTTGGTAATCATCAGGTGAGCAGTGCTGCCTCTCTTCCCGCTAAATCCTCGATAAATCTGCAAGATAATGGCAGCCAATTTATTCTGTCTTTGAGTCATGAAAATGCAGGTGTGCCCCTTTTGTGGAATAACCTTAAGTTCCAGCTCCAAAGCTGGAAATCCATGGGAATTTAACATGGACCCCTGCCAATAGTAACCCTAAAACAAAAAAAATACTAAGCACAGTTCTTAAAATGTGAGAAAATAAACTATCCCCTTGCCACCACAATGACATCTTCTAGCTTTGTGCTGTATATGTCAGGAAGTTAAAGAATTCTATAGCAACCCAAATGTTGAAGTATAAATCCTACCATAGGAGATTATGAAAGTGAATTCAATGAGTTACCATGGATTATTACAGAATCACAATTGGTTTATTAATGATTTCAAGGAATGGGATCGTTCCCAGTTCATACCAAATGTCACTTGAATCAAAATGTTGTGACTGAACCTTAATGTGTTTTTAACTCTCATAGTAAGTCACCAGGTGGCACCTGCCCTTGGGTACTGTATACCAAGTAGGGTCCTCACACTTTCAGATTACAGGAAAAACTTTGGGGAAAGAAAGAAATCAAAACATTGCTGATATTTAGTAACTTTTCACGTATAGCTGTTGTTTACCTAAATTATGAATGCATTAATTTACAAAGTCAAAATTTTTTTCTGGAATTTAGAAGAAGAATTTGATTGAAATTTTCAATATACCGAAGGAAATAAATAAGGTACTTAGAGAGAACCTACTCTTACTGATTGAGGAGTTTAGGTCTGACGCTCAATAGTGTAAAACTTCAAGCCAGTAGTTTCGGGAGTGAAGTTAGGAAACACTTAGATATACAGAGTGACAGAAGTATGGACCTTGCTTCGACAAAAGCAATTGATGCTTGATTGGTTGTTCATTTTAAATCCAAAATTGGAGATTCTTGTTAAGCAAGGGTATTAATGGACAGAAGGCAAAGGCAGGTTTATAAAATTAGGTAACAAATTAGCTACGATCTCTTTCAATAATAGAGCAGCCTTGAAGGATGTAATGGCCTATGTTCCAGTAAATCATTCACATGAAGAGCAAGATCTTTGCATTCTTTATCTTAAAAATCTTATTATGTTTGGCATGCTTGCCTTCATTGTACAGACCGTTGGCAATAGGATTTGGGACGTCATGTTGCGACCGTACAGAACATTGGCGAGGCCACTTTTAGATACTGCGTACAACTCTGGTGGCCCTTCTATGGTAAGGATGTTGTTAAACTTTAGACGATGCAGAAAAGATTTACAGTGATGTTGCCAGGACTGGAGGGTTTGAGTTAAAGGGAGAGGCTGAATGGGTTGGGGCTTTTATTCCCTGGAGCGTCGAAGGTTGAGGGCTGACCTTGTAGAGCTTTATAAAATGATGAGAGGCATGGATAGGGTGGATAGCCAAGGTCTTTTTCCTAGGGTGGGGGAGTCCAAAATTACTCAGCATAGGTTTAAGATGAAAGGGGAAAGATTTTAAAAAGGCCCTGAGGGGTAACTTTTTCACAAAGAGGGTAGTGACTGTATGGAATGAGCTGCCAGAGGAAGTGGTGGAGACTAGTACAATTACAACATTTAAAAGGCATTTGGATGGTTATATGAATAGGAAGGGTTTAGACGGATATGGGCCAAATGCTGGCAAATGAGACTAGATCAGATTGGGATGTCTGGCCTGTGTGGACGGGTTGGACTGAAGAGTCTGTTTCCATGCTGTGCAACTCAATGATTCTATGATGCTAAACAAATCAGCTCCTTAACACTGCCAATAATATGCAGTTTCGTAGATATAACATTATATAAATTATTAACACTGGTAGTTTATTAAGCAACATGCAATTAGCTTGCATTCAACCAAACTGTTGCAGATATTGTTGAAATGAAATATTGACAGTTAGTTCATATTATTAATCTATCCTTTATAGCCTAAAACAGGCATACGACTCAACAAAAATAAATTACTTGTGGGCTGATTTGCTGATTATTGCTGTACTTTACTGTAAATCCTTATAGTGCACAAGGCAGAAATCAAATCCCACAACTCAAACTTACTGTAGCCCTGAGAATTAGGATTTGTAAATGATAACTGATATGAATTCCAGTCCCCACAAACCCTCTAGTGAGATCTAAATTGAACTGACTGGCGGTGTAATCATTTATTGAGTCACTGGCTGCTTTGCAATCACCTGCCATATCTATAAAAATGTCAATAGCTATGATTGAATTAAAACTCTGTCTTTCTGCTTCTCAAAATCAGGAGAATTTAATTTTTGTTTTCAACTTTATATTAAAGTTACCATTATTTTGTGATTTATCTTGTGTTGCTGCTTTGCCTCAAAATATAACTTGGTTGTATTTAATTTTATGTCATGCATATCTTTTATTAAAAACTCACTTTAAATATTCATGTGACATACAATATTTGTTATTCTGTAGTAAAAATGCAGTACCCTATGACTATGCAATTTGCCCATTCTGTTCCCACAAATCATTCTTTAAGAAAAAATAATTTGCTTTTGAAACTTGTTCTCCAAACTGAACAGAGTGAAAAAAAAATTTTGCTGAATAATAGTTAAAGTCACCCATCTAATTGCCTTTTGTGTCTTTTATTGCTGTCACTAAAGATTTCAGGACTCGAAGTCCTCAGTTCTAAACACCTGGAATTGGATTTATTTATTTTGCCCAGAACTGTCATTCTCAGCTGGATTTGGATGGCATAGTATATGGATATGCACTATGCTAATTCTCCATGAAGTATCAGCCCTGTTCAATTGGATTGAAGGAGTAATTGAATGAGTGGAGAGTTTTGACGATCAGATTTTGTCCACAACCCCCACTCCAAATGTAATCTTACATTGATGTGATGAGGTGGCTCCTTTACCTGTCAAACCACATTCTATCACTCAGCACCTTGCAGCAGGAAGAAGAAAAATACAAAATCAGAAGAGGACAGAGTTAAAAGCAAAACAAAAGCAGAGATAAAAGGAGAGAAGCAGCAGATAAAATGAGAAATGGGAAAGGGAGGGATTTTGTCAAGAGTGTCTGTTTTGTACACGCAAAGCCACAGGAGATTGATTTTGTCTTTTGTCAGTTGAAAACAATGTATATTACAAGCAAATTGCGCTGTTGGATGCCAGCATATGTACAATGTACATACTGAGCTTGAAAGTCTCAGAGCCACACTTTGATGGTATGCTGTGATAATACCAAACACCAATAGACTTCGGCGCAGATTGTATTACAAATCACACAGGCATAGCCACCAGCAGGTTACACTTGCATTATTATGACAACCCCAAGACTTGAGATAAGGGCAAATAATAATTCTGCAAATGCATCCTGGACCAAGTTTTAAGAGGTAAATTCCCTTTAACATTGTCTTACCTCCTCTTGGACTGTTACTTCATCCTCGATATAATCTGTGCCAGCTCTCAGCTAAAGAACAGTTTCTCTGAGCCTAACAAAAGTCTTTCTAATGGGATTCATAAGAAATTCATGCAGACTTTCTGCCAAGATGTAGCAGCATTGGGGAGAATGGCACTGAAATGCAAAGGAGTGGAGAATTTGACCAATAAATCCTCACTCCACGCAAAACAGAGTTTGGTACAAATGTGAAATGGGGCAAAAAAAAACCAGTGGCTGAAATATTGCCACAAAATTTCTCACAAGTTCTCCCAGGACATGTTGGAAACATGCCCATCTCCCTGCACTCACAGATTATTATAAACAGCTAAACGCTATTGTTAATAATTGCTGAAAAGTTTGGAATGGATATGTCATTTTTTTTATCTGCTTATATTGGTTAAAATATTATTTTTATTCTTTCTTTGGATGTGGGCATTTCTGGCAAAGGCAACATTTATTGCCCATCACCAGTTTACCCCTGAGCTGAACAGGGTGCTAGGCTATTTTAGTGGCAGTTAAAAGTCAACCACATTTCTGTGGGTCTAGAGTCATATGTAGGTCAGATCAGGTAAGAATGGCAGATTTCCTTCCCTGAATGATTCGAATGAACCAGATTGATTCTTATGGCAATTGTTGATAATTTCATGATACTTTCAAATTACTGAGATGAACTTTTATTTCCAGAATTATAAGTAAATTGAATTTAAATTCTACAGCCATGGTGAGATTTGAACCTGTGAAAGTAGAGAATTAGCCTCGGGATTACTCTGTATTACCACCATACCAGTGTCTCTAAAGGAAATTTCAGGATTACTAATTTTTAACCAGACTTTACTTGCATCCCTATCCCTTTGTGCAAATCACCTGACAATACCTGCATTTTTTCCCTTTCATGGCACATGGTATAAGAGAAGTTTTGTCTTCATGAATTATGAATTGATTCCAGCAGGGGTAATACTAACAACTATAATAATTGTTTACGTTTTGATGTTCATTTATCACTCATCATGATAATGAATTTTTGCTCTGTCGCTGTTGCAGTAGTGCCCTGTGATTATCCAAAGTCAGGTTTAGTGCCCAATGCAATTGATGGAAGCCACTCTCTGTGTAGAACCACACTGGATATTATTCAAAAGTCCCCACTTAAATTAAAAGCTGGACACTTCAGAATCCAAACCAGCTTTATTTGCATGTCTAATATTTAGGAATACAGTTTATAGAATTGAATTGGGAAAAGGTGAGATAGCACAGGTAAGAAGTTACTTGGGAAAGAAGTTTATTGGCCACTTAATAGTAACTGCACTGCAGGATATGGTATACAGGAAGAAATAGTGGACTTGTAAGAAAGGTATGGCAATAATCACAGGTGATTTTAAGCCAGGCACAATTTAAATGAGATGAATTGACAAAGCAAGCCCAGAAGATGAGTTCATAATGTTCTGAGGACAATTCTTAGAGTAACATGTTCTAGAGTTAACAAGAGAGCAGGGGAGTGGAATATAAAAATAGGAATTTTTTAACTGCTGATGCACAGATCAACAGACCTGGTAATGTGCATTGAATCAGAATTAGTTAATTATTTCACAATAAAGCAGCCTCCAGGCAGCAACGATCATAACATGATTGAATTTCACGTAGAGTTTGGGGGAAGGAACAGTAGGACCAAAATTAATGTCCTAAACTTAAATAAAGGCAATTATAAGGGTATGAAGACAGAGTTGGCTAAAGTGAACTGAAAAATCAGGTTAAGGGGAGGGTCAGTAGAGATACAAGCGAAGACATTTAAAGAGATATTTTAGCAAAGGTACTTAGCAAAGATACCAGGATATGATGGACTTTATCAAAAGATCTTAAAAGAAGTGGTTGCAGAATTAGCAGATGCATTGATTGTAATTTTCCAAATTCTCTAGATTCTAAGAAGTTGTCTTCAGATTGGAAAATAGCAAAAGTAACTCCTTTATTCAAGAAAGGACAGAAATGAAAGCAGAAAGCTGTAGGCCTGTTGACATAACATTTATCATTGGGGAAATACTAGAAACTACAATTGAGGGGTTATAGAAGAGCTCTTAGAAAATAGTTAACACAATCAGTTAGAGTCAACATGATTTGTGAAAGGGAAATCATGGTTAATAAATTTATTGGAGCTCATTGAGAAAGTAATCAGTAATATGGATAAAGGAGAACCTGTAAATTTGATGTACTTGGACTTCCAAATGGTACTCATAAGGTGCCACATTAAAGATAACTGCATAAAATAAAAGCACATAGTGTAAATGTGGCATATTAGCACGGATAAAGGATTGGTTAGCTACTAGGAAACAGAGAGTAGGAATAAAGTTGGCATGTCATAATGGACAGAGTGTGACAGGAGTGCTTTGGCCACAACTATTCATAATCTTAATCAATGACTTGGATGAAGGGAGTGATGTTTGGTTGCTAAAATACATAAGAGGGTAAGTTGTGATGAGAACGTCAGTCTGAAAAGGGAAATAGAGAGGTTAAATGAGTTAGCAAAAAGCTTGGCAGATGGAGTATAACCACGACATGTGAAATTGTTCACTTAGACAGGAGGATAAGAAAATATAGTATAAAAATAGGGAGAGTTTGCAGAAACTCTGCTGTACAGTGGGATCCAGGTTACTTGGTGCGCAAATCACAAAATGTTAGCACTCAGAAACAGCAAGTGATTAGGAAGGCAAAAGGAAGTTGTTGTTTATTGCAAGAGGAGTGGAATTTAAAAAATAGGAAATTTTTGCTACTGAAGCACAGAATATCAGTGAAACGACATCTGAAGTCCTGGGTACAGTTTTTGTCTCCTTAGTTTAAGAAAGGATATAACTGCATTGGAAACAATGCAGAGAAGATTCATTCAGCTGATCCCTGGCATGCTTTACACAGGCTGGGCCTGCGTCCACTTAGAAGTTTAGGAAAATGTAAGGTGATCTTGTTGAAACGTATATGATCCCAGAGGACTTGACAGGGTAATCTGTTTATGGGAGAGATAAGAACTGGAGGGTACAATTTAAAAATTAGGTCCTTCACATTTAAGACAGAGATGAGGAGAATTTCTTTTCTCTTGGTCATTAGACTCTTCAATTCTCTTCCCCAGAGACCAGTGGAGGCAGGTTCATTGAGTATGTTTCAGGATGATTTGGATAGGTTTTTGATTGGCACAGGAGTTACAAGGTAAAGGAGTTAGACAGAAAAGTAGAAGCAACAATGAAGTCATTTATAATCTTATCAAAGGACAGAACAGGCTTGAGGAGTTGAATGGCCTACTCATGCTCCTAATTGATGTGTTCTTAACAATCAAAGCAGAAAAAAAATCATTAGTGAACTGGCAGTTCTGTCCCAGTTTCGATAAGGAAATAATCTGACTGACTGGGGGCAAATATTGTCAAGTAACTAGCACTTCTATAAGTACTTTTTTTTCCCCTGTTTGGTCTGAGGGAAATTCAGTATTAGAGTTTCTGACTAGTCTGCTGTTTTCACTCCAGGTCTCTCAAGGTAACATTTTGTAGTCTAGCTGCTTATAAATACCCCATTGTTCACCCCATAATTAGTTGAAATATCTGCATATTTCTTCTATATATCATTTAACTTCTCATCCATTTAATAACTAGTAATTTACAAATCAATGTTGTTTAGTTGTTTAAGGCAACAGTTACAATGGGCTGCTGAATGAGAAAACCCTTTAGAAAATAAGCTGCATATAGACATAACAAAGAAGCCACCACATCAGCTACTCACTAGTTCCACACTACAATTGAGATATTCAAAGATAATTTTGCCCCTCAATACCTCGGGCTGTTTTTTTTTGGTATTCTTATTTCCTATGATTAGCAACAGTTGAGCAAGTTGTCTCTTCATTAGAGAAGCCTGATGACATGTCAATAGGCTATCCCATTGGAAGAATAGAGAGAAGAGGCAGCAACAAGATCCGGTTTAGCTCTCCCTCACCTTATGCTCCTAATCTGCATTTTCTTTCTTTGGACGATGATCAGGAACAGAAACCCTGATTGTTATTTCCCCTCCTTAGCCCAAGAATCGAGGATCCCCCACCAGCGCCCGACAGACTCCGCATGGAACAGAGGTTGAACTTGGGAGCGTTCTGGTTTGTATGGCTCAGTACCACACTAGGCACTGCATTTACATTTTTCTAAAAATGTGAGCTAATTTACATAGTGTATGCGGAAATGAGCATTTCAGACTGTTCACCCTGATGTAAGCACTAACTCATGCTGACAGAGGAAACGGTTACATGGCACATATGAGACTTTGAATAAATGCATTACAACAAAGCACATTTACTTCTGCACAAGCTCTAACTCAACGAAATTATTAGTTTATTTAAATGCAATCCAACATTTTGTAGTTTTAATGCTATTTTGGAAACTGTAAAGGGTAAAGTTCATTGCATTTGTCATTAAAACTTTTTTCTTTTCTTTTTTTAGGATAGAATAAAAGACACAACAGTAAGAATACTTTTTTATTATTATAATATATAATTAATCTTTTAATTTCCTTTAATTCTGCTTTAGAACTGCACATTAATTCCCTGGTTGTACTCCCCTATCAATCATCTGAAGCACTGACATCACATAAGCCTCCTTCCTCTCTTTTCAGTCAGAGTAAATCCAGCCCCACTTCAATTGTCATTCACATGCTTTCCAAATATATATAAAATACAGTATATAAACATATGTGTTTCATAATATTACTATAGATGGGGAGCACAGGTGCGACACAATGGTTCAATTGTTGGCACCACTGCCTCACAGTGGTAGGGACCCGGGTTCAATTCCATCCTCAGGTGACTGTCTGTGTGGGTTTCCTCCGGGTGCTCTGGTTTCCTCCCACAGTCCAAAGATGTGCAGGTTAGGTGGATTGGTCATGCTAAATTGCCCATAGTGCCCAGGGATGTGCAGCTTAGGTAGATAAGCCATGGGAAATGCAGGGTTTCAGGGATAAGGTAGGGTGGTGGGTCTGGGGAGGATGGTCTTCAGAGTGTCAGTGGGACTCGATAGGCCGAATGGCCTGCTTCCATGCTATGATTCTATGAGTAATGAAGGTGTAATTTAATCTTGGACTCAAATAGTATCTGCAAACTGCTCAGGTTTTTCCTTTACTGTTTATGTTTTCTGGACTCAGTTCTGTAAATTGCAGTTCCATCATTCAGCTTCTCTTCCATTCTGTATGGAATTCTTTAAAAAGATTTATTTGAGTGCTTTTAAAATTTATATATTTGTTAAGGAAGGTTTTGTATAAATCTTCATGATTGGGATTGTACCTAGCAAAAGGTTGGAAGTCAGTTTCTGTGTGTATTTTTGGACTTGGTGCTGAATGCATGCAATTGTAAGTGGGACTAATGTTGTAAATTGCTAGGCGCTGAGTTACTAACTAAAATCATCATATCATGGGAGGTGAAGGTACTTGCCTCCAAGTTGTCAGTTTTTCAAACATCCCTTGTACAATGTCAAACTGAGGCTTTTCTGCTTCAAGTGTCTTAGCACCTCTTTGGAGCTGGAAATGGTCCTTCAGAGTTGGAAATGTCCCTGCGGCTCAGCTTGTGATTTTATGATGATTTACAGTACAGAGTATATGCCATTGTAGAAGTGATATTTGAACAAACACCAATGATTGTAGCTGTTGCTAATTCACATGGGGAAAATGAAATCATGATATATGAATGCTGGTGCTTGGATTCCCTTATTATGCCAATCCACAAGTGACCAGTATGTTGATTGAAATACCATCTTTTCTTTATGTTACAGTGACTGTAGACTGAGCACTGAGTCTGGAAGAAACTTATGTGAAAGATATGTCATGACTCAGTGACATTTGAGAGATATGACACTGTGCCTTCAGAAACATTGCTTGATTGTAAACAGTAAAGAACTGAAACTGTAATAACAGGCATTTTTATGAAAAACTTAGATCCATCTTTCATTCTATGTAATATGTAGTTTGAGGCAATGTTTTCCATGGCTTAGAATAACTCGTTAGCAAACTACATGAACAGAAATAGGGATCAACGTATTGCCCACAGAGAGATTATGACCAGCAGTAATAAATATCTATTGGTGCTCTATCGGACAATCAATTAATGCCTAACTAACCAACAGAAATCCAAATCAGTCTCACTGAAACCTAGCAGACTGTATGCTGACAATGCTGGGAACTACGCAGAGACAGTTTGGTCTCACTCCTGCACTTTTGAATCAAACATTATTTATTCAACAGGTACATGGAGAATTAAGGGCTGAAATGACTGCTTATCGTTGGAGTTCTGTTTTGCCTGTCCTTAGCCGGCTTCTCTCCATTAACCTCCCTAATCTGAAGCTACTGCAACATATTTGCAACATCGTCAGTAACATATTTGTGTAGGTCATGGATGCATCACTTCCCAGTTGGATGGATGGTTGAATTGGTCAATCCTTGGTCTTTTAGTTGAACCTAAAAACTACTTATGTTAAAGAAACAATAACCAGAAGAAAGGCATAGAATAAACCAATAGTTCTTTGCACCTACCTCTTCATCTATCATTACATAAATGATAGCTATCTGTCTTGCAGCCTCTTCCTCTTCCATTTTAAGCATCTTATAGCTGTTTGTACATCCTGTCATGCTTTTTGTCTACATTTTTCATTTCAAATTTTTGCATTTGCATATATAATGGGTTTTTCTTGCATAAATTTGGATCTGTGCCAGTTCTACCGGTTTACATAAATCGCTCAAAATACAGCCTGCTTTTCTTTCTATCTGCCTACTGTGTTTAGTAATTAAAATTTCTTATTGCCAAAATAAGAGTGATAAAATATGAAAAGAATACAGTACTCACATAATTAAGGCTATCTATCGAACTGCTTTTTTTTTCTTCTCTGTCTTCGTTAAAAACTTCACTTTTAAAAAAACTAAGGGCTGAACTTTATATTTTTGCCCAAAACTATGACAACTTGAGCTGTACTTGGATACAACAGCGCTATTCAGTCAGTTACACTGATACAATGTTTTCTTTTTATTCAAAGGTAGAATAAATTGCAGTCTTCAAAAGGAATTTTAGTTGAATTTGAAGTAAAGTGATTGTCTCACCCATATGCTAACGATGTCCAGCAATAATAGGCCAACAATGATCAATTATACCTTTGAAATAGAGATTCCATTTGCAACATCAATAAGATCAAGGGAAATAGAGAGAAAAGCAGGCAGTTTCTTTCATCATCCTGATTTGATTCTTTTGAGAACAGAAAGCATTAAATTTTGAAAGTTGAACAATGCCCCCTTTTGGGAAAGATTACAAAACATGATGGTGAATGAAGATGGAGAGGTTGAGATGTACCTCTGGCATATGACCACCCTGTCCGGGAGAGAATAAGCAGGAGTAGGGTGTAAAGTTAGGGGTGAAGGCAATGATGTCAAAGTTTAGAAAGAAAAAAAGACAGAGCTTGAGCATGTAGTTCAAGGGAAAAGAGGTAAACATAAGAAATAATTTGTGTATATATATAGTGCCTTTCAATCTCAGGTTGTCTCAAAATGTTTTGCAGCCTGTCATGTAGTTTTGAAATCAAGTCATAACATGGAGCAATAATTAATGATGAGAGTGAATGGTTGGTAGAAAGGAAAGTAATTAATGGGAAGGCAAAGGGGTAGGAGATACAATAACACCCACAGGTAGAGGGGAAGAATAAGTAATTGGGGATGAGAAGGAAGCTGCCTCGGACGGCTAGATTTCCCTGCTGTCCTAACGCTGATGTATACTGCAGTCATTGATGGCTTATTTTCCATCACACTGCATCAACTCATCGACCACCTGCCCCACTAAAAGGGGAGTGAAAAAACAAGAAGAGGACAAGAGAAAAAAATGAAGAGTTAAGAGGAGAGAAGAAAGAGAGAAAGATAGACAAAAAGAGGAGAGGAAATGAAGACTTCAGAAGCTGGTAAGAGAGTGACCATATTCTTTGACCTACTCAGTCCCATGAGAAATTGATTGCATTGTTGAAATTCTAACTAGGGCACACTTTCTATTCTGTGCCACTTTTATTCCAATTATAAATTAGGATGGCAGTATTTCCTATATATTCTTGCTCAAAATGCACTTTCTGGCTCTGGTCACTGGGTGGTTTTGCAAAGCAAGTTCTGAAGTTTCTCTTCCAACCCTGTTGCCATATTTTCTTTTTCTTTGATGGTAAGAAGTAGGTAAGTCATTTTAGTACATACTTCCTCCAGTCATTTAAATTGACTTGTTTTTGCTGGCCACACGCCCATTCATCTTCCTATCCCATGTCACTCCAGATAACTGTTCACCCACTTGCCTCACTGTTCCCTTTTCTATGTCCATGACCACCTTTCTTTCTCGCCTTTTCCCAATGCTGTTCTTACGCAGTGCCATCACCACCTACTTGATTCCTGTTCCTTTTTCTATTAGATCATGCAATATCCATACAATTACAATATGACAAAGTTATACAGGCTGCTTCCGTGTGGAAAAAATGCCAGACGATACTTGAAAAGTTACATAGCTTTTCCTGTCCCTGCTTTTATGGTGTTCCTTAGTTATAAAGAAATTTTGCTTCTTGTCATTCTTGTCAAAGTTAGGTTGCATTTATAAACAGCGTAGATGAGAGCATAAAATTACAAAGTGATATTGACAGACACGGTGAATGGTAAAACTGTGACCGATGGAGTAAGCAAGTTTGAGGTTATCCATTTTCGACCAATAAAGGATAGATCTGGGTACTTTCTAGATGGTATGAAGTTAAATACAGTGGATGTCCAAACACAAATAAGGCTTCAGGTGCATAGATCTTTAAAATGCTACAAACAGGTGCAGAAAATAATTAAGTAAGCTAGTGGAATGCTGACTTTTATCTCTAGAAGACTGGAGTAAAAGGATGCAGAAGTTATGCTGCAATTCTCCAAAGCCCTGATTTAGACTCCATTTGGAATACTGTGAGCAGAACTGGTCACTACACCTTAGGAAGGATATACTGGTAGGTTTACAAGAATGATAACTGGACTTCAGAGGTTAAATTAAGAAGATAAATTATACAAATTAGGTTTGTTTTCTCCAGAATTTAGAAGGTCAAGGAGTGATCTGATATGTTGTAATTGTGCTAGTCTTCAAGATATTGGAATAGGGGACACTCTAATCTGGGGCACAGACAGGCGTTTCTGCAGCTGTCAGCAAGACATCAGGGTGGTGTGTTGTCTCCCAGGTGCCAGGGTCAAGGAGAGGGTACAGAATATTCTGAAAGGGGACAGTGACTAGCAGGACGTCATTGTGCACTTTGGTACCAATGACATAGGTAGGGAAAGAGATGAGGTTCCTCAGAGAGATGTTGTCTGAGAATTAGGGCCAGGTCATTTAGGAGATATGTTCAGAAGCACTTCTACACACAAAAGATGGTAGAGATTTAGAAGTCTCTTCCATAAATGGCAGTGGGTGCAGGATCAGATGTTAATTTTACATCTGAGA